ATGTGTGGTATCCCAGTAGATATTGTTGGATTGAAAACTGTTAAAATCCCCTTGAAAAGATAAGAATTAGCTTTCTCACTTATCTTCCTCATTGATATGAGATAAAAGAGAAAGTACAGACCAGAAGTAATGGCTTAAAATAGTGCCAGCAATCACAAAAGAAATCAGAAGCTGATAATGTAGTGATACATATGACAGATATTTTCCCAGAAGGATGAAGTATTTACCTTGAGTAACAGCTTCCCTAACAATGAATAAAAAGTTCAAGTTTAAAGAAATAAAGAGATAGCTTTTTTTTCTCTCTTCAATTAAAAAATCAAAAAGCATAGAGTAGGGGCAGAAGATGTAACTCAGTGGTACAGTGCATGCTTAGCTTGTATGAAGCCCTGAGTTCAGTCTCTAATGTGAAAACACACATACACATGCATGGACACACAAACACAGAGTGTATTATATAAACATTCATGCGGTCTTTTCTAGGCCATAGGAGATGTAAATACCATTAACCTTTTGCAACATTTGTGTAAGAATTTTTTTTAAGAAACTAGACATGTCTTAAAAAAAGAAATTAGACATTTCAGATAAAGTATATGTTCTATTTGTTCTTGCTCGGTTTTTTTCTTTGTTTCTAAAGGATTTTACTCTAAGGAAGTTGCCAGAAATTTTTCTAGCATGTCTTTTCAGGATTTTGTTGTATATCTATTTATATATTTACTATTCATATTTCTGATTTTTTTTTTTCTTTTTGAGACAGGGTCTCGCTGTGCAGTTCAGGCCGGCTATGAGCTCACTTTGTATCCCAGGCTGGTCTTGAACTCGCAACGATCCTCCTGCCTCAGCCTCCCGAGTGCTGGGATTACAGGCGTGTGCTACCACGCCTGGCTTGTTTACTATATATATTACAAGAGAATATACTGTAGAATATAGAGTGTTACTTTGCATATTTTGAAATCCTAACAAATGGTATCAGTGATCTGCAGCTTGATTTTCTCACAATATTGTGTTTTTAATATTCATATTGACTGAATCAGTATAAGTAGGTCTAGTTCATTAATTTTAAATGTTTTATAAAATGTCTTTGGGTAAGACAATTTATTATTATGTTGATAGATATTTCCGTTATTATTGTTTCCTGTTACAAACAATCCTGAAGTGAATGCCCTTGAACACAGCTCCTGAAGCACATGTATCAAGTTCAGTGGGGTAATTTTTAGAAGTAAAATTGATGAACCATAGGATATATAATTATCACATTTGTGTAGAAATTGTCAAAGTGTGCTGCAGTGTAGTGGTGCCATGTTATACTCCTTTTCAGCAGTGGTGGAATTGGCTTTCTAAAACAAACATGCCAAGTGCACCTTTTACAGTTTTGAGGCTTTTCCATTGCAGAATTTCCCTCCATGTCCCTTACATTTCCTCACGTGTAATTCTCTTACCTCTAAAGGTCCTTCCTTTGACTTCCTTGGAAAAAATAGAGCAAGTGTTAAAACTTTGTTGTTCATATGCGTTGAGAATGATGGGCACAGTTTTCAGGACACTTTGCTGTGTTCAGCTGCTCTTTCACAATTAGTCTTGTCCTCACTGACAGCAGTGCTCCTGCCTCACTTGCGCTGTTGGCCTGGGTAACGTTTCTGACCTTCTCAGCATTTGCTTAGGTGCTAAGGAGATTGTCTAAACACTTTGTGGATGATTTTCTTCTTTGCCTGCTTAAGGTTTTTAAAAGATAACAAAAACAAAATAACTCTGGTCTTGGCATTTGTTCACCTCCTTAAAGTCCTTAAGAGTTTTGGGCCTATTGAGCTTCTCACTTATCACTTCATTGCAGAGTCCTGCCAGTGCTAGTGCAGCCTCCAGGTGCACCGTCTGGGATTTGAAGCTGTTGCTGCCACTCTTGAGACAGCTCCCCATTTGTGGTCACGTTTTCCTACCTTGAAGAACATCACCTCTGTCTGGTAGTTCAGTTCCAATAAGATTCTTTTTACCTGAGTTTTAAAATGGTAACAAAGCTAATGGTGGAGAATAACAATAGGACCCACATTAGTATCCAGAGCTTTCTTAAATTTCTTTTTAGTACTTACATTCAAGTGTCTTTTTCTTGTATTACATTAGAGGAATAAACAGAAATAGGCATCAAAATTTCCTGGCCCACTTCTGATCTGACAAGAAGTGCCGAGTTTAAATATTAATTCTTAACAGCACAGACCAGGGCTGAGAGCTGTCCTGAAGAAGCTGTGCTCGGGAGGTGCTGGCCGTGTTACTGTGATGGGCAGTTTTGACAGTCTCACATGCTGTAACTGTGTGTTGTTACAACCTGGCTTTATAACATTTATGAAGTTTTTAGCAGGGCAGCTGGGTGAAGTGGATTCATATTTTGAAAGAAAACTGGCAAAAGTATAGTGAATATGTTGGAGGGAGCAGAGAGCCTGCAGTGAGATCAGTTAAGAGAGGTTTGCCACACTGTAGGCGAGAAAGGAAGCTCTCTAGGCTGGGCTGGTGAAGGGAGAGGGAGGAATGTGTGAATCTGAGGAGGAGCGAGGGGAGATGCAGTTGGCTTTGGTGTGGCTGGGCGGGGAGGGCTGAGCAAGAGGGGTAAGCGTCAAGTCTGGCTACTTCAGCTGTGGGGGTACAGTTATGTGTTCTGAGGAGGTGCATGGGATTTTTCTCACAGTTCCATGTGAACATTATAACATCAGTATTAGCTGACGTCAGGGAGGCCCCACCTTGTAGCATATGCTGGATTGTGTGCTATTTCCTGACAAATAGCCATCTACCTTTTCTTCAAGTAGCAGCTTACATCAGGCAGGCAAAAATGGCGGGCTTCTGTGTAGTCCACAGTGTGCTTAGATAAGAGTACCGCTGCAACGGAAGGTAGGAGAAGTGCATTTATACTCCTTTTCAAGGTGGCCTGCTCGAGTGAGCTCACAATGACGAACGGCCCCCTCTGCGTGTACCTGCTGCCATGCTGCCTGGGCTTGAACCTGCCTAAAAGCACAGTAGGGGTTTTTGGGTGTAGTTCTTAAGATTACTCATGAATTTTTAGTAGTTTTCTCCATCAAGCCTTCCTGAAGGTTGGTTTGTGGGGCAGGGACGGACAGGGGCCCCGTCACCAACATTTTTTATTCCATTAACAGTGTTGTTAAGGGAACTGAATGCTTTTGTTCAGTGTTGCAGTAGCTGTCAACAGCAGGCTCAGAGTTAAGACTGTGAATCTTAACTGACTTCCTAAAAAGAATGTTAAAGAACACCACAGCAAAAACAACTGCAGTGTATTCTAACCTGAGTAAAATGTCTGTCATTAGCTTTCTCATATAACATGTATCTGCCACATGAAATGTTTCCGTTCTTGGTCATTATCCCTAAAGAAGAACTTAAAGCAGTCATTAGCCTTAAATGTAATGTAATCCAGGAATCTCTTCATTCTGCTCAGGCTAAATTGATTATCAGCCGGGATCACTCTGGAGTGTTTACAAGATCATAACTTCTCAAATGATTGTCTTTATTAGATTAAGGTTTTGTTTTTATTTGCGGGGGTTAGTGGAAAGGTTGGGAGTAGAGAGGAATGAGTTCAAGAAGAGTAGAAAAAAAAAGCTGTTTTAAAATGACTAGTGACAGAAAAAAGAGGCTGCCATTCCTAGACCCTGTGGTCCTGCAGAAGAGGAGTACAGACTGAAGTAATATGAACGCCCTCCGGCCTGGCCAGCGAGGTTCTCTGTGAGGTACATTTTGTGTGTTTAAGCAAGAGCTTAATAGCAAGAGTAGGAGACATGATTTCTCAGAGTGCTTTGGGGACACTTCCTTGGATCCTACTGCTGATTGTATTTGAAGGTGTCTAGTTTGCCAGCGGCAGTGGCCCACACCTGTAATCCCAGCTGGGTGGCAGGCTCAGGTAGGAGGATCACAGGTTCCAGGCCACCCTGGGCAGCTTAACTCAAAAAGAAAGAGGGCTGGTATGTAGCCTTTTCCTTAATCCCCAGTACCAGAAAAGAAAAAAGGAAAGAAAATAAAAAAGTGCTTAATTCTGTCATGGTCCTTCTGAGCACTGCACCCATAAGACGCTCTCTTAACTGTCCCTGGCTTCCTGGAAGGCCCCGAGGGGCTGTGAGCCTGTGGCCACCTGGCCTCCTGCACCTGCTGTCATCACCTGGCCCAGGTCATCACAGGTGTGGCATGGCTGCTGAGGGAGCCATCGTCTCTGCCCTAGGGGCTGGGTGAGGCGGTGGCTGTGCGGGATTTCTTTCCCTGTGCTTTCAGCCTGGCTGGCCCTGGGTTTTATTTTATAAAATGCTACCCTGAAAGAAAATCTGACTGCTTTGATTTAAGGCAGTAATTATGAGCGCAGCCTTACAGAAGAAATTTAAGGTCCATAGAAACACTATTTTGTGTTTTCGCTTTGGGAGGTTCCTCCAACCCTCAGGATTGAGCTGAGCGTAAGGCCTCACATGTTTTCTTCTAAAAGTTTCAGATCCTGACTGCTGAAGTCCTACATCTGCTCTGAGGCCCCGTCCATTCTTTCATCCAAGCCCCCATCTCTCTTACGAGTTCTTCATAGCTCCCTAACTCCACTGCCTGCTGATAGGTGTCACTCAGCTTGTCGGCCTTTGAACAGTTACATGTTGAGCATGCGGGCCTTTTATGTGGACGTCTCAGCCATGTCAGTGAGGCCTCTCCTCCAGCCTGCTTTGTTTATCCAGCAGCTCATTACTGAAGGCTGGCCTGTCAAAACGGGTTAAATATTCTTTGGGAAATACGGTCACATCCTTGAGATACTACAAGTATGTTTAATACAGGGAAGATTGGCTTGATAAGAAAAACATGATCGACTTGCATCACCAAAAATATTTTTCTGTTGTTCCAGTTGAGTTTCTACAGGCATCAATAAGTGCTAGCAAACCTGAGGGCAATAAATTTCTGCAGCTGACACATAGAGACACCAAAGGAGGCAGGGAAAATGATTGCTGATGATTCGTTCTAACTACTTGACCTTCTGACCTCTTCTCTAGATATATGATCAAGATGGGACACTACAGCACTTTATTGATGGTGGGGAACCTAGTAAGTCGAGCTGGATGAGGTATATCCGATGTGCAAGGCACTGCGGAGAACAGAATCTAACAGTAGTTCAGTACAGGTAAAGTATGTCTTGATTTACACTTACAGAGCTGAAGCCCTTTGGCTTGCATACACAAATTCAGGCTTGCTGCTAGTGCTTGGAAAAAATCCTGCAGACCCTGCACAGATTGGCAGAGATGTTGTTTTACCAGCTTCCTGAACCCTCCGTAGTTCCCAGGACAGTAATTTCCTGACTGCTCAGAAGCGAAGGTGCAAGTAGGTGGCCTGTTTGTTCAGAGCCCATGCTAAAGTTGCCTGTGCGTCATTGCTTGCACTTCCATGAAAGCCTGAGTGGGTCCTGTAAGCCCACCGATGAAGGCAGCTCCCTCAGCAGATGTGTGCACACGGAGGAGCAGGATTTCAGAGACGCGGCCCCAGGCCCTTCGTTCTGTCTCCTTCAGCGTCTCTCCCTGCGAGGACAGTTTTATTTGCACAGAGCCACTGGAAACCAAGAACCTTGCTCTTCCCAGCACTGCCCTTCAGAGCCCGCCAAGTTCTGGAGCAGTGACCAAGCTGGGGCAGCCTCTCTCCTGCTCCCTCCACAGGTTTGCTTTTTGATGGTGCTACTTATGTTTCAGGCAATGAGGTGATTTCAAAGCAGAGAGAACTCCCCACTTCTAGTGGGTGACAAAGGCGAGATGGCACCATCCCTCGTCCCACAGGGAGTCGAGTAGGAGGCCTGGGGGACTGAGAAGAAGATGGATTCTCAGGGTGCCTCAGACCGTCTCTTCTAAGTGCACCTGCTGGCCACACGTTTCCACTTAGCGCCTGAGAAGGCTGAAATGGAGATGAGAGGGCAGCCCAAATCAGCCAGGGAGAGAGCCCCACCACTCAGCCTGCTTTTCTCAGAATCCCTCGAAAACATGTGCCATATAAATACATGAGCTCAGCTATAAACGGCCATGTTCCCTTTAGAATCAGAAGCAACTGCTTAGCTTTATTAGGCACCACAGACACATCAAAGCAGAGGGCCGGTGCTCGGCAACTTGGAGCCCTGCCTGTGCCTATTTATTTTCCTTTCCTTTCCTTTCCTTCTTTTTAATCTTTTTTTTGAACTTTCTTCCCCTTATAGCTTAAAGGCTGCACAAATCTGGCTTGTTCTCTAAAGCTCTCCGATTCAAAAGCAACATACTTGGGCAGCATCTGACTCATTGCCTTGGTTTCCTATGCAGTTTTATGTCATTAAATAATGGTTTAATTGCAGTAGCGCAAGACGATATTTGGATACACTGCTGTACACAGGCTTTACTCACCTTCACTGTCATAAAGTTTTTACAGAACTCCAGCTAAAAAGCTAGTAAGAACTCCGCTTGTCCAGTGCGCAGTAGATGGTGTCGCTCGTTCTGTGCTGAACACACAGAGAGTTAGTCCTTGAGGCAAATTCTAAATTTGGGACAAGAAACCCGGTTGAGGAAGGGGGCGTGAGTGAGCTGTTACCTATCTGTCACTATTAAGTGGATTTTACAACTCCCCTCTATGACAGCCCTTAAACTACGAGCTCTCTCTGCTGATCTGTTTTTGATTACTTCAGATCTTTACAAAATGAACTACAAAAACACAATTTTAAAAACTGGCGTCCATCATCAGTGACGACGTCCAAAAGTAAGAAAATAGAAAAGTTGGACCCCGAAGAGCCAGCCTAATTTTTATCGTACATGAATGTCCTCTTCACAGAAAGTCAGCTGGTTTAAATTCATTCTGTTATGATTTGTAATATCTAAATGGAATTTTCTTCAAAGCACCCTTGATTGATTGACCCTTAGCTGAACGTTTTGTTTTTATTTTGAGGCTGACAATAATGTTTGTTGGCATGTGTTCTGCTTCAACTGCGTTGGGACGCCATGAAGCTATCTTTATGAGTCATCCAACCACAATACTAAATACATGTCAGCAAAGGAAATATTATCTGAAAAGGGAAAAATCCCTTTGATGTGCTTTAACATGCAGAGATTTCTGCGAGTTTTGGAAGCTCTGCCCGCTTGTAAGGCACGGTGTACGCTTACACATTTTTCTCCCCCTTTTGGCCTACTCCGTGCCTCAGAAGACCACCCATTGCTCGAAAACAGTTTTGCTCTTTCAGCAGCAAAGTGTGTCATTTGGTTTTAGCACATTCATTTGCCGGGCGCAGTGTTTATCTTAAGGGAAGCCAAACCGAGAGATGAAATGTTACAAGGGTGAAGTACAAAGTAGACTCAATTTTTCTCAAGTTAGGAGATGCCAGTGATTTATAGCTCAGCTCCAATTTTAATTTTTTTATGTAGCAGTGGAAAGAATTAATAAAATGCACAGCTCTTAGAGATGTGGAGGGAGGAAGGGTGGTGAGGGCCGGACAACTGGCTGGAGTTTTTGTCAGATATTCATAGAATGTTGGGAAAAAACATTCTGCTTAGCTAGCAGTGCCCTCGTGAGACAGAATAGCAGCACGTAAGGAAAATAACAAGATAAATGAAATTTTTGCAGCTGCAAGTAAAATATTGAGAATCTGCACTTTTTTATTGATCTTTATGATCCTATTGCCAAGAGCCACTTTGTGGTGACAGAATATGTTGACAAGTGCATATCTCACTGCCATGAAAAATGTGCAGAAGGATTCGCCTTATGTCTGCAGTGTTATACAACGGACAAATTGCCCTGCAACAGCCAGTTCCTTACAGAAAGTGGAAATTTAAGGTCCACCAACCCCAAACACTTTTATCTGAAACTTGAGGCTAAGATGTGAAGCAATTCTTCATTGAGAAAACCAGTTTCAGTCTCTCTTTTTTTTTAATCTGTAGATTTTTTTTTTATGGTGCCAAGCTGTTATAAAAAATGTTTATTTCTTGGTACCTTCACTGTATCATTTCAGAGTGTAATCTTTCAGCCAGCGTAAAGTGCTCCTCTTGTACTTATTGAATTTTCATCCATTTCACATAAGAGGTTTTTCTGTTGTATCAGGCCTCAGGAAAAAGGCAGTGGAGATTTTTATTCTCATTTCTTGTATCACAAAGATGCTCCATTTTACTGCAGATTTGAGAAGTTTCAGTGCAGCTGCCAGAATACATTTAATGGTTTTCCTTAAAAGAGAAATAACTTAATCAATGGTACTAATTTATATATGAGTTTGGGGTACTACGGTCTTTGCAGTTTGCCAAGAGAGACAATTTTCTCATTAGCGCAAGGCAGAGTATTTTTTAAATGAACTTTCCCTTTCTGCTGTCTCTGGGGCCAAATATCTGTCTCTTCAGGACCCTCTATGCAGGGACACTGGAAATAAACTGTGCACTGTTTATCATACTGAGTTATAGGCTCTAATTGATTGCTGGGGACAGTAAGGTAAAGGTAGATTTATTATAAACAAACTGTTTAGGTGGAGCTGGGCAAAACATTTTCAGGGCAATAAAAATGTGGTGGGGGCACATGAATCCTACCTATTACTAAGCTGGGTTTTCTTTTGTTTTGAATAGGTCGAATATATTCTACCGAGCCTGTATAGATATCCCCAGGGGCACCGAGCTTCTGGTGTGGTACAATGACAGCTATACGTCTTTCTTTGGGATCCCCTTACAATGCATTGCCCAGGATGAAAACTGTAAGAATTTATTTTAGCTCTAAATTCACATCTCAAAATACCTATTTCAAAGCTAACTTTTAAAGAATGATTTTTCTGGAAACTTCTGAAATGTGCTTCACTGTGATACATCATGCAGACGTGTGCACATCCATTCTATCATTTTCTTTTCCCTGTATGTTGTTTGCTTTTTCACAGGGCATCTTAACCTCTACCAGCCAGTACTCAGTTTCAAAGCCTTTGCCAGAGTTCTGAATAATCACTGACCACAGAGTTAAGTCAGCTGGTGTTCACTGAGCACATACTGTGTGACTGGTTCTAAGCTTTACCCTGTAGGGGTTATAAAAGCAATAATAAGATTGCTTTTGTTCTGATGGGGTGCACAGTCTCTTTGGAGGCACACTATGTAGAAATGAAATACTGAGAAAACGGTACTGCTTAATCAAAGGTAGCATCTCTGCTGTTGGTTGGGTTTGCTTCCTTCTAGTCTTTAGCGTAAGAAAGATACTAAAAATTGGAGATGCGTAAAATTCATGTATTTCTAAATTTTTTGTCTAAAATTATGTCTACAACCATGTAATTTTCTTCTATTTTTATTATCATACCAGCCATTATCTTTGAAAGGATAATCCAATTCTTGGGCAAATATGAACTTAAAGCAACTTTCATTTAAAATTTATATATTTGTTTTGTCAATTCTTTTGAAAATATTATAAGGTGATTTCCAGAAATTGAAACAGAATTAGGAAATTCTGGGGTGCTTTAATGAGAAACACTGGTTTCAACAATGCTGTGTTTTCTTGTCACTAAATTGACTAATACGTCATAGTTTGACATTATGTACCGAAAAGAAAGAGACGGTAGATCTATTTTAATAGAAAACTTCACTTTGAAAAGTGAAGTGTTTTTCTCTCCTCTTTCTCTTCTCCACTTCTTACACATGCGCACACACTAACTCCAATAAAAAATGCTCGTATTACTACTGTCCAAAATGCTGATGATCAGACATTTCTTTCCCATGTTGCTTTTAATTCTTTAAAAAAAAGTAAAATCCTCAAAAGGCCTACTGCGATCAGCTTTCCTTTTCTGTTTTACTCTAATCCTAAGTCAATCTGAAATTTAAAAAAAGAAATGAAACTTTGGACCTACAGTACATTCCTCTTACCTCCTGAGTTTCCATGAGAGAGTTTCTTTTCTGCAGTGATACTTCTGTTTGAGGAGCCTCTTTTTCTAAGGAGGAATCTCAGAGTTGGACAAGAGTGTGTGCTAGTGTTAGAGGCAGATACTGATGTGGAGGCCACTGTGCTTTCCTGGGCCTGGATAGCTCCTAGCCCCTCCCCTGAAACTAGCTCTGGGTCCGTAGAAGAAGCACCAGTGTTGTCCCAGGTGCCTATCTGGGACTTGTCTGTGACATAACCTTGTCTTCTAAAGCATGGAATGTAGTCTAAAAGGATTCCAGAAATCCTGTGAGGACCTCATTTCCTTTTGTACTGCCACCTGTCCCAGACACGGGAGCTGTTGTGCAGGTGTTGAGGGGTATCAGGGAGTACACACATCCAGGCCTAGAATTCAAAAGTATGTAGCTCGGACTCCAAATATTCACTTGTTTGCTCATTCATTCATTCTCATTCTTTGCTCAGATGTTTACTGAGTACCAGCCTTGGGCCAGTGTCTTTGCTAAGTGCTGTAAACACAAAGAGGGGGAAAAAAAAAAAACAGACAAGATTTCCTGTCCTCATGAGGCTTACATTTTAGCAGGATAGAGATCCATAAATGTATAAATAAATAGCTGGTTAGATGTTAATGTGTTGTAGAGCTAGGAAAGCAGAGGGAGGAGTAAGCACAGCTGGAGTTGGGGTTGCAAGTTCCAGAGTAATTAGGCAGCCCCAAGGGAGGGGCTTGCAGGCGAAGACTTAAGGAGGTGAAGCAACAGCCCTATGTTCCTGTGGGGAAGAGCACTGCAGGCAGAACCAGATTCAAAGCGGTGGTCCCAGGGTGGGAGTATCCCTGGCATGGGAGGAGCGTCATAGAAGTTGACACAGCAGAGTGAGCGTGAGGCGGTAACCCGGGCATGGGTGGCGTCGGCAATCTGGGCTGGCCCTGGAGCACAGCCCGGAGCCTGGGTGCTACTCTGTGGGAGCCAGTGGTGGGACTCCACGGAGTTTGAGCAGCAGAGTACTCTGGGCTGAGGTTTTATTGAGATTACTGAGTGGAGACCAGGCAGTGAGGGGTGGGGTGGGACACAGTTCCTGCAGGAACCTTCGGGAAAGCTGACGGGGGCTTGGACCGGTATGGAAGTGGTGGAGGTGGTGAGAGCAATTGGATTTTGCACACCTTTGAAAATAAGGTGGACTGTGTTTTCTGACGTGAGCTACAGAGTGAGAGGAGTCAAGGGTGACTTGAATCTTTTGGAGAACTGGAAGGATGGCCTGACTGTTTACTGAGTCTGGAGACAGACATGGTAAATACATAATGACTGCGTAGGGGCTACCTTTGTCACCCTTGATACGGCGCTCTGGAGAGAAGTCACACAGCCTTGTGCTGCTGAAAGGATGAAAGGGACTGAGGGGTTGGTGTAGACCATTTGGGGACCCCTTTGCTAGTCATAGCCACCTGACAGTGAGTGGCTGAGAATGCACCACATGGTTTTCAGACACCACAGTGCATCAGAAAATACACTTTCTGGGGGTAGTATATAGTTTGCCTTTCAGTCCTTCCTTGCGTAGTCCCACTTGTGTGAAGCATTCTTGAGGTTGCTGACTAGAATGTTGAATAAACTCTGTTGAGGGGTACGTTATATCATTTAGCACCTAAAATCCTTGAAAGGAAATTCACAAAGCTGGAGCAGCTTGAAGTATTATAGATTCAGCAGGGAAACTAAACAGCTCTTTTGGGTTCAGTTTAGAGCTCTTAGTAAAGTTCGAAGGAGGTTTAAAGGGAATTAAGTCATTGACTAAAAGGTTCAACAGTGACAATGCCTCTTTCCCCTGAGGGTATTATAGGAATTTTATTTCAGTTCCTGTCTCAAAGTCATATATCTGTCATGTGATTGGCCACCCAAGAAAACAGTGGAAGGCTTCATCAGATAGTGTGGAGGAGATATATGACTTTGACACTGACTCCAAGATGGATTCTCATTCTGGATGATTTACTCAGAGAGCTGGGGGTCCCTTATTCTGTTCTGAGAAAATACTTGATATGATTTAGAAGCACAAATGTGTGAAAGGGCACAGAGAATTTACCAGTGTCCTTCCACGGCCTGAGTAATTCAAATCGCCTCACCTGGATTAGCAGTTCTAAGACAATTTCATCCCACTGAACTAGGCACAAAATAAATTAGGGATCTTAAAGAGAAGCTTCTTGAGATCAGAGACTCCCTGGCTACAGTGGCCCTGAAGCACCTCTATAGTGCTGTGGATGCAGGAAACAACTAATGAGTGCTCATGGGTAAGCATTAGTGCCCTGATTAGAAGAGATTTATTATTTCAGCTTGATTTTTCTCTGTTAATGAAAGTGATACCTGGACTAAGGTATTGAAGGAAAATCTGATTTTACTTAGTGAATAACACGTATTAAGCACTTTATTTATAAAAGTATCATTTTCTTCCCTGGTTCTTTCAACATTCAGAGCACACATTTCCCAGGGAGCGTGCAGCAGGCCAGGCCTCAGTCAGTGCCCCCCTTGGAGTGGCGTGTGGCAGCGGGCGCATTGGCACACTCAGTGCCCAGACAGGCCATTAAAAGCCCCCTGCACTCAAAGGGGAGACAGTATTTCATGCAGGCGCTTGGGTTCTGGAAGCAATTCCTGCATTATTTTCTTTTTAAAGAATCAGTTATAGATGTAATAGAGCTGCAAGAGGGAGCCGCTCCGTCCACTGTGGGCCTTTCAGAGGAGCCTGAAGGACCGCGTGTCGACAGATTGCATCCGCAAGAAGGAACGAGGTTCCCTGAGGCTTCCAGTGGGGGATTAGCTCCTGCAGAGTGTAAAGACCATGGCGCATTCATATTCGTTTCAGAGGAAATTAAAAAAAAAAACCTGGGAATAAATGTTGAACAAGTCTTCCTGCTGCTTTTTCTGTCTGGACATATGAAGCTGAGGTAGCAGAATGTGAAACTTGATGGCAACGTGGGAGTTGCGCTGGGTTAAGCTTTGCCTTGAGGAGGCCTGCCTGTTTCTTTTGATTAGGGGCACCTCTGCACGGTGCCTTTCGCCCTCCCATTCCACCAGCAGCAGGAAGTGGGCCCAGCCTGAGAAGGCTTCCCCCGTCGTGATCTTCAGGGGCATCCGTGAGGGCATGCAAACACTCAAGCCCATCCTGAGTTCAGGAGGATTACAGGAGACACAGAAACACAACTTTAGTATAAATTACAGTGCCGTGGTGCCTGAGATGGCCACATCTGGAGTCTGAGTTTAGACTGGGTATGAGTGGGAGGAGCCAGCACACCATCCCTGGGTGCAGTGGGAAGCTGGGACTGGATTCCTTATATCAGCCAGGCACAGGAAGTACTTTCCTCTTCCTGAAGGGGTATGAGAAAAATACTCTCCTTCACTTAGAAACTACAGCCTGTGCACCTTAGGTGACTGGTGGAAGCAGTCACACTAAAAACCAGCTGTGACTATAGGATGGTTTGGGGCTTGATTCTGCATTACTTTCCAGGTATAGAAACCACGGGCTAAGAAGCTAATACATAAATTGGTCTAGAATTGGAGAAATCTTTGGTCTTTATAAAAACAAAGGAGAAATGACCTCACAGCAATGCTTCTGTAGCTGCACAGGACTCCAGTGGAAGGCGGCAACCCACTAAAAATGTTCACAGAGAAAAACGACAAACCACACAGGGCAAGCCACTGTCGTGGCAGATTGGGGTCCTAGAGGCTGTGCTGTAGGATGTGGCGGGGTGCTGCCTGCATCTCAGCCTGGCTATGGGACTAAGGCGCTTTCTCACAGTTTGTGGACATGTCTCAGGTGGGCTTGTCTCAGCACAGGCCAGCTGCCTCCCCCTGGATAGTACTCCGTCCG